ATAAAGAAAGGACTTGTATCTTAGAAGAATTAACAAACAAACATACAGAGACGTAACAGAAGAAATGACTATTTCCAAATACTAAGGGTTTTAGACCTGAACTTAAACCCACGTGCACAGAAGGCGTTGTTCATATTGAAAATACCAATTTCATATTAAGCTCCTTTGAGTGACATTATTTGCTGATGATGTCCCAATAGAATTTGAAACTATACATTGATACAGATAATTAAAGAACAGCAAGGAGTATTTGGTCAAGCTAGACAGTCTCATTCACTATCCTAAACTTTAGAATAAAACACTCAAAGGTATATTTTATCATTCAGATATTTATCAAGCTTTCCCTTAAACTCCTTTAAATTAAAAGCAGCTACCACATCTGAAGGCAATACATTCCAAAAGCCAACCACCCTGTTAGAAAAATTAAGCTATCTAACTCTTCTTTTTTCAAGGGAAAACAAGTTCAAAGGCATTAGCCAATCCTTGTATGACAACCTTTCCATTTATGGTATTATCCTAGTACCCTTCCTCTGAGCTCTTTCCAACAATTCAATGTCCTTTCTAAGGTAAGGAGCTCAAGACTGTGCACAGTACTCCAAATGTGGCCTAACCAATCACCTATACAATGATATTATTACTTCTTTAAACATGTAATCAGTATTTCTGTACATACAATCTAAAATCTTATTTGCCCTGCTACTAGCAACAGCACATTGCTGGGATGGCTAAATAGATTGATCAATCAGAACATTAAGATCTTTTTCTTTCATAATACTGTTAAGGTTATTCCCATCAGAATTATACACATAATTCAAATTGTGTTAGCTCACATGCCTGACCTTGCATTTATTATAAATAATAGCCATTTATTCACCCAACTAACCAAATAATCTAAATCCTTGTATAAAACAGCTTCCTCCTCCTCACAGCCAGCAACACCCAAACCTTTCATGTCGTCTGCAAATTTAAATAACCTATTGACCATTCCTTGATCTACGTCACTGTTGTAAGTCAAAAAGAGCAAAGGTTCTACAACTGGACTCTGAAGTACCCAATTTGGGACGTTAATACAATTTAACTGAATTACATTTATAACAACCCTTTGCTTCCTTCCATCTAGCCAGTATTCTATCCAATGAGCCAACTTATTCTCCCACACCTACAGAGACACTTGTTTTCAGAAACCTTTTATGTGTCGCATCGTCAAATGTTTTCTGAAAATCCACATACACCAAATCCACAGCAATAACATATTCATAAAATGTCAAAAGATCAGTAAGACAAGTTTTTCTCTAATGAAACTATGCTGACTATCCAACAAAATGTTACTTGCAAAAATATTTTTTATCAGACTTTCATGACTAATGTTGCTATAATTACTACAATTTATAAAACCTCTCCTCCCTTTTTTGTTATCTATCCCTATTAATTAGACAGCTCATAACATATATTTCAAAGAAAATCCTATCATTAAACTGCGTACATTTAACGAAGTTTCAGTTATTCCCATTACATCAATATCTGAACCAGCAAGTGCTCTAACGTCATCCATTATATTGTTTATAGTTATAGCATTACAATAATAATATTTGAGTCTGTCATTAAAACTACTTTTGCACTTTGTTTCTGCACTACACTTTACTCTACATCTTATTTTCCTTATTATTTTGACCCTCACCACTGTCTGGTCCAAGTTTAAAGCTGCCCTTACAGTTCAGTTAATAAACCTTGCAAACAAGCCAGTCTATATCCTATTTAAGTATAAACCACCCATTTCAAAAAGCTCACTTTTCCCATTGAACTTATCTCACAAATCCAAACACCCAATATACTGTCCTTACATATTGACCTAAACCCTAACATATTTACCTACTTATCAGTTTATCCTTACAATTAGGTTTTAGCAGTATCCCTGAAGAATTAATATATTATGTCCCTTTTCTTTGAATGCCTTGTGACCTACCCTTCCCCTCATCATTAGCCCTATTTGCATTACAAAAACTGCATTACTGCTAGCCCCCTTTATAATATCACTTGCTCTGTCATTCACTCTGGATAGCATAACCTAATTCTTTTTCCTACTTACCCCAAGGACTATCCCATCCACGTGCTATACTAAAGAATCATCTATAATAGTACCCTCCTTATGTTTTCCATTTCCATCCCTATCTGTCCCTTTTATTAACCTTATTTCCCCTAGTTAGTCATCTACACAAGCTAAAGGCTGAAATCTGTTACTTAATACAACCTGTTATTTATAATTAAGTCCACTACTACAAGCTCTATTGGTAGTTTCTAACTTCCTGAAAGTCATTGTTTGCCACTGTATCCTTCGTATGTAAAAACTTAAGTTCCTCTTTAAGTCCTACTGCCATTTCCCACAGTTTACCCTTCTTTTTTATCCATTGCCTCTACCCTGTTTATGACACCTTCTATTTTCTTATCTAACCTACAAACTATAAATACAAATTGTACATTTCCACTACTATCTTCATATAGTTCACATGCTGTATTACTTTTGTTACCTGATGAATGTTAAAATATATTTAACTTACAGTCTACTACACCAGAAGATGAAGAAATCAGTTTTTGTTGGATCTAGCTAGAAAATTGAAAAAATATCTCAATCACACTTTCAAAAATAAAAGAACAATAATAAGTAAGGTTGTGTATAAACAAAAAAATTCCGAGTTCAATTGGTAGAACATTCTTTGCTCAATACGATAAATCATGTGGTAGTTTAAGCCATTAGGAAAAGGGTTATACTAAAAGATTCTTCTAAGTGTAGTGACTAAAATACTATTGAATTCCACCTTTCAATAACTAGTATAGAATATATATTTTGTCATGTATATTCAAATAATGTTTTTCTAATTACCTATTCAGTTTCTGCATATAGTTATGATATTTTCGTTGACTAGAAGTCTCAAAGTCGTAAACGTGTGCTAACTTTTTGTGGTATTTTCAAGTAGCACTGATTTCCTCTGAAATAATAAAACAGGTATATAGGATAATGGCAGATTGAACAAGCTATTTACTCTGAAATATTTCTGCATCTTTAGACAAACTGAGTTCGCGAGAAATATAGAGAGACTGAACACAAATACACCAT